AAAAAATGCTCGAAAAAGCAGTGTTTTTACATTTCATGCATTTAGCAAGTATCGATATATTACTGTGGTTTTAGCCGTTTGACTGTAATTCGAGTTCAAATTTGAAAAAATGCTTTGTAACCAATATATGTATAAAATAGATGTATAGTATTTACTTCTACTATACGAAAGCAATTTAAAATTGTAATTGCACAAGAACTAGGACATTTAGATGCTTTGATCAAGTTTTACTTTGTCTGACGTTAAATAGAAAATCAATCACTTGAAGTTTCCAAGTAAGTCGTGTTGCTGATGGTGCAGAAAAACTAGCTCCCAGAGTACATGTGTGAAACGCTTCATGAAATTGAAGTTAGAAATTCTCTTTCACCAAGATAGAAATGCAGTTTAAATGTTGATTAATGGTGAGCGTAAAGTCCAATTTAAATACATTTCATTGTAAATAATTCTTTGGGTTTATGAAATTTTGTTTGTGCCTTTTCCCCGCAGTTGATATGGGATGTATACAGGAGAATGGGCTTAAAATGGAATATAAATCGTGAGCGGGGGGGTCATTTACGGCGGGATTTAGGATATGCACTCGGGGGATTGGAGGGAATTCCTGCATTCCCGAATGCGGGACCGCTATTTACTCGCACACATTAGTAGTCCAAGCCTTTCGCAAAATGCAACAACACAACATTCTCCGACAGCTGCCCGGAAAATTGACTTAATTGTTTCTAGACGAAATGCTCACCATTATTATGATAACGCTCTGCTGTTTGTTCTCCGTTGTGAATGCAGCAATGACCAACAGAGCAAGGAAGACGTAGGCAGCCACAGTGGATAGGTTCCTGGGATCGAGGAAGGACTCCACCAAAGGTACAGTGCCCATCGTCCAATCGCAGCAGAGATCGCAAGGAAACAGTAGCAACCACAAGTTGACGCTTATCAAATAATGATAAGTGAGTTGCCTGGATGGGGTCGGGGCCACGGACGCAGGATTATCGAACCTCGTGAAAACTGGTAATTGCGAACCCATTATCTGCAATCTAGCCAGAAGAAGACATACCGTGGTCAGACCTAATGCGCTCAGCCTTTTCGTGGCTTCGCTTGACCAGGGCAAGTGATACGAAGACTTCGCCGATTTAATCATGTACTTTAAATCGGACAATCGAATCTGAAACAAAAATACAGGCGAAATCAATATTTGCTCTCTTATACTCATAAATATGGTCTTAAGACCTATAATCGATAGAGCTGTGCAACCGAGAGATGTAGGACAACGACGTAATGGAAAAAGCTCTCTCGTGGATGCAACATAAATTCTCATTTAAAATAATAAGGTTAAACCGATTTAAATCAATTAGAGTCTCCGTACATTATTATACTTTCATAATAAGTCTATCATATAACAACATATTTATGAAACAGTAATTATTTACAGACTCGACTTTTTTTTTATTGAAAAATAATATATAAATGGGATTTACTTATAAAATAAGGTAAACTTAAATTTTGTTAATTTGTCAATTACGGAAAGTATGATCAATAGTTAATTTGAGTAATTATGCTTAATTAAATCCTGTTTAAATACTTAAAATGTGTAAGTACATTTGTTGTATTTTATTCTTAGTACTGTAAATGCAAACTTTGTATGGTGCCGTGAATAGACCTTTAGAGAATGTGAATGAGTAAAAACTAGTTATGGAAACAAAGTGGTTTTGAAAGAGCTAAGAGTCTACTCTATAGCACGTTTGAAAGAAAATGTCAATGAAAGGGCACCAGTCTCATAATATCCAATATATACATTTTTATTATTTGTGACAATCAGGGATAATTTAATGCCGATTATTTTTGTCAATGATCATTAAAAATTATCTTAAGTTATTCAAAATATATAAATAAATAAAATATTTTCTAAATTGAATCTGTAATGTAGAATGTTTAATAGAATAGTGATAATTTATTGACGTACAGTATGCCGTGCAGCAGCAAAGGACCAAACTGTGCCAAACGGAATTTATATCCACGATCGATTTAATCCCCGACACCCCTAACAAACGTTATTCCCTTGCAGTTACCACCGCGGTGGTAATCAATTAAAACCCATTTTTGGCCGGCAAAAACCCACCTCGGAGGTATTAATCAAAGGGGGGTTTCTCTTTCCACCTCATTGTAACACTTTTTCGGCTCCTCTATATATTTTTTTTTGTTCTTCTTCAACTCATTTCCGAACCGGACCCACTTCGTATGGACATTATATAAATAAATCTCACTTGTAGAAGTATTTATTCAAGGGAAATAAATTGCCGCACTAAATCTTCCTGCTCTTGCAAAGAAAGGGCCAGAGAGAGAGAAAAACTATGAGATAAGCCCAACAAATTCTCTCTTTATCAGAAAAAAAAAATACAAATATATATATACAAGCGGTGCGAGAGACAGAAAGAGAAAAGAGGGCGAAAAGCACGGAGAAAAGAAACCCGCTTTTATTTAATCTCTTGTACACTTAAACAGAATATAAACACTTCTCTTAGCTTCATACTCTGGCACTTTTCCAGCTAAATATATATATCGAATAGTTTTATTATTTCATTTTCCGCGTTTGTTGTTGCCAGAGAAATGGAAATCCTTCGACCTGTTTCCATGTGGAAATTGAGGAAATGTGCAATCTTAATTAAATTGCAAAATCCATTTTTTGTTGCCAAAAACTTACCTTTTGTGAGACGAATATTTCATAGGCTGCACAGACTCCGGCCACCGTAATTCCTTGTTCTTTGCACAGCATCGCCGTCGCTATGGATGCCATCGACATGCACATATATTTCCAACCTGAAACAATGGAACCATTCATTCTGTAATTAGTTTCTTTGAAAGCTGCTGCCCTTTTTAAGGTTCCATTTCATTATACTTTTCTTTTTAATTTCCTTTTGTTTGTCTTTCCTAAGCGCACATATATATTCTTATATAATGATTTCAGGTATTTTTATTCGCTCGCGGAATGCGAAATCTGTTGCAGCCGAATCGCTTTATAACACACAGTTATTTCTGTTCATTTCAAATTATTTTCTTCATATATTTTTTTAATAAGACCAACATATTTATCACAAGAATTTCATATTCTTCAAAATAAATATCTCATGTACAATAATTGAATTATTAATATTAATAAAAATGTATGTATATCATTCATGCTCCAACAAGCAAGAAATAAATAAGTACAAATTCCAATATAAACTTGAATAATTTTATGAATCGTAATTAATAATCTAGTATAATACACTTGCATCTGATAATATTTTTCTGGTAGTTAATTTATAAACTTTTTTAAGTAAATAGATTTACGATTAATGTGTATTTTTTTTTCAAATTTATATTTGTAAATGTTGTTGTTATTGTTGGTTATGTAAAGAAATACGTATGAAACGCAATTCGATGTGTACATTAACTAAAATAAATTAAAATCCAATTTAATTTCAAACATTTAGCAAAAAGCTAATTAATTTTGTATACTTTTCAAACTGTGTCCATTTCGAACGTTGTGCTTTATTTACAACTGTACTGTTCGCATTGATAATTAAAACTATATTTATTATGTAATATTATAAATGATTAAAGACCATTACGGAAACAAGTAACAAGAGAAATGGAAATGAATGCGACGAAAGGTTTTAAACGTATTAATTTATAATACGTTGCGCTTGAAACGGTGCAATCTAAAATATTAATTGCTCAAAAACCTAAAATTAAAATAATTAGATATTAATGCTGCAGTGCCAATACTAATTTCTGTAATTTCACTAATAACGCTCTCTCTCGTCGGAATCGTTATGCAAGAAGGCGAGTATCATTTTCCTTCCGTTTAATTATTCAAGATGAAATGATGATAGGCCAATTTGAGTCGGAATAATGGCTTGCGTTGCTGCTCATTGGCAACGATGATGTCTTTTTATTTCCCTTAAACTTTCTTCATGTGAATTTTTAGTCTATTGAGCATGTGCTGTTGTAGGAAGATGGTAATTTATATGATGGCTATTCATATTAAGTGCATGAAGTATCATAAATTAATCAACTCTGACAGGTTAACATCATGCAACAACTGATAGGATAATGGCATTGTGTCTACCTCTAATGCGTGGTTACATCAATATGAAAGAAACTTCTAAATTTATCCAGAAATAAAATTAAGTTAATTTTCTTTTTTTATATAATTGATTTTATATCAGTTTCTTTCAATTTATTAAGTTAAGTTTGTCAAAATTAAATATGATTTTACGTATATTTCCAAATTCATAAAAGACACGCAGTGAAATATTTAAAGTTTTAATAATTATAAGAAGTTATTAAGATACAAGTTTTACTTTTTTAATGTTGCTTTTACAATTTTACCCTAGAAATAAACAGGGAACAAAGAAATGTGATCAAAACTATGACGCATTTAGTATGTATAATAAATTTATATAATTTTCTACATTTGTGTCTCTAAATTATAGAAAAAAAACTAGTTTTAAATTTTAACTGATTAATTCCATACTTTTTATTTCACTTTTTTCTATTAATTTGACTTTAGTGTGCTTAAACGTAAGTCCAAAATAGGTATTTTTACTTTTATATTGATCTGAATTAAATTTTCGATAAAATAACCACATACAAAAAAAATTCATATTCTGTCTCTGAAGCTTACGTGCTGCGAATATATCATACGCCCACTCTGATCCTCATATATAATGTACGAACATCATTAGTCTACAGAGATATGTAAACAAGTTCATTTTATATTAAAAAAAAGGGATTGTATGTCAAATCGATAAAGATTAACGATTGAATTGTTCAGTTGGGAGTTCGGACTTAGTGCCCAAACCGAATGCAAATGAAAACAGCAACGAAAAAAAAAATAAAAAAAACTTTAAACATCATCCGCCCAGTTTAATAATATTCCGATCACAAATCAATAGGGGGGGCCTTTTTGCGCTAACGGAAAGGGGGCTTTACTGTCGGCACCGGGAATTACACGAAACGGAATGCCGGGGTAAAAAAGAGCGGTTGCATGTTTCGTGTTCGGAATAAATTATAAAAGCACTTCACGTGAGAGTGTAATTAAGTCTGAAGCAAAAAAAAAAGTGTGTGTATATATATATACGGTGGATCTAAAGGGGGTAGCAGGATCAGAGGGGCGGTGGACGCAGCAGATGAAAAAAAAAAACACAACGTAAACGTTAGTCCGCTTAGTTTTCTTTTATACATTTTTTCGTTGTACATTCCTGGAGGTGGCAGACTTGAGGGTAAACAAAGATAAATAAATAATTTATTTGCTATTTTCACCTCATGACCGTTGGGGACTTGACTTTAAACATTGCCTATTGTTGTCACGGCGCACTAGAATATTTATGGTTCGAAAACACATTTTACAATAATATTGGAGTGAACTGGCGTATGTAAATAATGAAACCATTATGAATTGTTCGAATCGCCGTAATTGGAGCCGCTGCGTCGGTCCGCTGGGATTGGGGTTGACTTATTTATTTATTTACTCAAACTCACCCGTATTTCTTTTATTCCTCGAAGCTTTGGTGTACAGCATGAAAGCAGCCAGGAAGAACACCGAAGATAAGGTTTCAGCTCTTCCGACTACTCCAGTTACCTGGAATTACATATTTAATTTAGTAAACGCTCTCCTTAGCGGTAAAGACACGACGTTGCACATAAAAATAAAAAAGGCGTTTAGAAAAGCGTTTTCCGCCCTTGCGGACTTTTCTTCTCGAGCTTTTCTTGAAATGGAGACGCTATGAAAAATTAAATTTGTTATTATTTCTAATCCAGGCAAAGGTGGAATGGAAAGTAATTACTTTTCCTCCTGTGAGTTTCTTTTAATATCGTATCTTCGCGACGACCGGGCTTCGTCTTTATACTCTTCCCTTCTCTCTCTCTCTGTCTCTTTCTATCTCACACACAAGCCCCGTGTTGTCTTCCTTCAGGCGGCGAGTTGAATGAGAAGGATTGCCCCAGCTATTCACGAGACATTACTCAAAGTTGGTGTGTATATTCACCCTCGCCATCCGAGTTTCATTTCATCGCGACGTTTATCAAAACTGGGAAGTTTCGGATTTAATTAACTAAAACCGCAAAACTCATAAACACGTTTTTAAAACGTCCATCCATTTTGACAGGCCTTTAACTTACAGCGTACTTCCAAACTATATTTCATTTTATCAATTATTCAAAAAATTCCACACGCTTTTCATTCAACAATTTTGTTTACTATTTATATTTTAATTGTTACTTCTTTCTTTATTTTGAAGTTTTTTAGAGAGTCCCATATTTATCATAATGAAATTGATTTTAATTTATTCGAAAAGTAACGAAACAATAATTTGCGTTTGAACTTTTTAACCACTTAAAAACAATTAATTTTGTAGATTTCACAAAAGTTTTCAACTGGATATCAATTTATATTACTTTAATCCAGTTTGAATTTAATTTAAGCTTGAAATATTTGAATCAACATTTAATTTAGTTCAAAATATATAAGATTGAACGTTGTAATTATAAAATAAATCGATTTAAATTAACTTTGCTTTTGGTGGTTAACGGCGGGAAGTAAATAAGACCACAAGCTACAACCATATCTGAAGTACAAATTGATTCATATTAGTTAATGAATGTTGATGTATTGATGTAATTAAACAATTTATTTATTATTTAAAGTTGAATAACTGAAATATTTTTGGTCTATATTTACGTGCCAAAGTATTTTGAAATTTTGTAGAATCAGGTGGAACTTTGTTATTTTTTAATTGATACGCCTCAGAAATTTCATTAAATTTCCGTAATGTAATTCGAAATTGATTTCGACGCTAACGAGCAAATATTTATATGCAGACTTAATGGACAAAGGCTTTTCACATTAACTCACTAATTATTAATTAAGGACCGAAATTGAAACAATCGGGGAAATGTTGGAAACTCGGCCACGTAATGTAACGAAGTCACCAAGTCTAGAACGCAATGGAATAAGGAATAATTAGTTGACGCAGAGGACCTCTCGCAAATTTGATTCGGTATTTATTTATTTCCATTATTCGAGTGGAGGCGCTTATGAGCCAACTGTCGTTAGGGTTAATGGAATAGCTGCATGAACAAAAACTCCACTTCCGACTCCCGGATTCCGGCCTTCGGCTAATGGGGCCTCCTCCAAACCTCTCCGGGCCTACTCCCCTCTCGATTTACGAATTCAATTAACAATTATAAAAGTAGCTCATTACCCCTCCGGGTCCGGAAGCTAATTAGGGTTGTAATTGCCCTAAATACAAATCCAACATTTTGAATAATTTTATTATATGCTGTAAATAAGAGATGTGTAAAAAGTTAAATAATCTTACCGCTTCCACGTGAATTGGATGGACTGCGAACAGCATGGCGGCGACAAAACTTGATAACTCTGGCAGAAACATGGAGCACATTCTGAAATTTCAGAGAGACCAAAGATATTATAGTTTCCGAAGCAGGCATGCATGTATTAGTTCGCCAAACTAAAACAGGGGGGAACGGCGGGGGGATAATTAGCCTAAAAGTTTTATCTTATAAATTTAGCTTAACTATACGAATGAATATTGCTCGAGTGACTCCCTGAATATTGTAGTATTAATCACATTTCGGATCCAGCCAGCCAGTCATTACTATTACCATGTATATTTTATATTATCAATTTTGCGCGGATGTTGAGCATCACCTACATTATTCAATATCGTTGTACATGCACGTACTTGTTATGACTACTAATACTGAACCTAATCTATAACGCAAAGTTCCTGCAGAGATCAAAATATAAACTGCCTCGACATTTTAATCCTAGCAGCTCAAATAATATTATTTCAGGATTACCATGACCCACTAATGTCACTACATGCATCGCTATATTCATCCTGTCTGTTTAATAAAACAGTAAACTTCATAATTTTGTAACACTTTTCAAGAATTTATCAAATTCAATTAGGATATTAAAACTACATTGAATTAACCATATCTAAATATATGCCTTTTCTCCACATTTTCCTTATAATTGTCTAAAACTCACGAAATGCAACTGTTTTTTTTATGTATTTCTAATGTATTGTTTACTGTATAGATACAAACTTCGGCGGATATATCCGCCCAATTTGTATGAACTACGTTTTCTTGGAATCATCATTTTGAGAATTAATATCTCAATTTAGCAATTAAATAAAGAAATTTAAAAATTAAATCTAATCGATATTGTTCCTAATAAAACATAAAATATTATAATCAAAAAAATACAAATTCAATTTTAAGCAGCATTTGTGCATGTGGTATTGGATCCTTTGTATAGGATATATTGAATAATACATTTTTCACAGTACCATAGTTATCTATTTGTTTATTTTAAAATGAAACCGAACAGAATATATTTATTTCAGGTTTGATATAAATGCGGCAGCAGCGTTTCGAACCGCAGCACTCAGTCCCGAATGCTTGTCCACCCACCCAGTTTAAACGTGGTATTATGCAAATATAAATCCATCGCATATTATGATTATTTATTCAAAGCATTTAGCGCGGTTTGCTTCTCTATGAAAACGGTAAAATGCTTTTAAATTATATATTGCACTCGAACGTGAACCATAACAGGGTGAGAAGGCCCTATATTTACCGGAGCGCCTGTGACACTGGAATCTATCTATCCATTAATTAAATTATCTCACGTAATAATATAATAGGAATTCGATCATTGTTCATTAACGTCCGCTTTGTAATTCTATATTTAACGAACGAACATTGATTATCTAATGTCTGAAAATTCAATAATTCAATATGGTTAAAAACAGAAGAAGGTGGGTCTAGTTATTATAGTTTTTTCTAGTGCACTTTTCAGTAGGAGCAAAACAGTTGCGACGAGAGGTTTTTATTGCATTGTAGAGTATATTTTAGGTCAATTTGACCTGTCTATTCCAAATACGTTCTTGGAATATCAAATAAATTTGATTTACAAAAACAGATTTTATACATTTCTGTGAGACTAAAGCAGGTTTAGATGCAAAAATGTGCCAATGTCTTTATTTCATTGTATATTAAATATTGCTGGTATCAACACTAGATTTATATGTTTGGTAAAATAAGTGTATGATCCAAAATATTCTCAGAAATCTTGAAATCCTCATTACAAATATCATGCCAGCTGATTCCTACATCCAAAAGAAAAAGGTGTTTTTTTTGTCCAAGCAAAACAAATATATTCGAGTTGTTTAAAAAACTGTCCAAACTGTTTGTAAGTGTTAACGAGTAACAATGAGAAGAGAAGTCCCGGATTGCTCACCTGCTACATCATTTTTAAAACTTGTGAACACAAATTATGTGTATTTTTGAATTTGTTTCACTATACGAGTATTTCACTATAAGTGCAAAAATCTGGAAATTTTGGGACGGTTTAAACTCGTTAAGCGAGGTTCCCCTGTATAAATAATATTTCCCGAGTGTTTCTATAGGAATTTTAGTTTAATTATTTACAATTTGTTTAACTTCTTTCATACATTACCCTTCAGTTTTTATAATTTCCCGAGAATTCTCGGTTGTTTTGTAGATACTTAAACTAATCAAATGGAATTGAACAATGTATATGATTTTACCTGTATCCATAGTGACTTTATATTTAAACAATTGAAAATCGCAATATGGGTGTACTTGATTCATTAATCATATGAGTCACTTCTTGAGAAATATGTCAATAATGTGAAGAAATTAAAGTATATTATATAATGAAAAATTCCTTCAATTCATAGTGAATGTTAAAATTATGATTATATATAATAAACAAATGTTTATAGAACCAGATTCTTCAGTAACTATGAGAGCCGTAATTAATAACTCAAAGGCAACCCATGCAACTCCTTTGTAAAAATTAATACTTTCTTTTAAATTTTATAAAAGGGTCATAAGTAGTACTTGTGTTTCATTTGTTTGTCGTTGCAGCAAAATTTATTTAATTACACTAATAATTTTTTTATTTATTTAGTAGTCGTAAATTTCACAAAAAGTTAATTAGTGAAACGAAAATAAAAATGAATTAATTAATATAAATGTGGGACAAAATAAATAAAAGTAATTAAACAATGAACACGTTGCAATTAATATTATGATTGTTTTCGGTTTATATTGTCACAGTGTATAGTGCAGCTCTTTGAATTGTTTCGACATTGGCAATTTATAATAGGCAATTCTCGCAATTCGTTTTCCAGTATTGCGTTGCCTGATTTATGCACTCGATTGCGAGAGCAAGAATGAGTTTGTGGGATGGAAAATAATAAATAAAAAAACAGCTTGAGCGAGAGAGAGAGAGAAGTAGGACAGACAAAAAGGGAGAGCACATATACAGTGTGTTGTATACATCAGTTGAGTTGGATTTGCATACATTGCCGGGCCTTAACCACTTCACAATTTATAATTTTCATTTTTCATGAATAAATTAAGCATTAAAATGGAGGAGGAGACGGTCGGTGGAGAGACGAAGGTACAGGAAGAACCCCGGTCCCCATTTATTTTTATGTTCGCTCCCCGAAACTAATAAATAAATATAAGGTTGGGGAAAATGCGGCTTTCGTATATAGAATTGCATCTCTGTACGAGTATTGCCATATATTTCAGAACGTATATTTCTCTTCCTATTTCGGCCCCCAACAATTTATGCATAGCCTCTCCCATCTTCTCCAACATTCGCACGTTGCATTCGCAAAGAATAAAATTAATTATATCTGAAAGTCTCTAGCAATATTCACTACGTATTGAAAGATTTTTTTCATTTTATTTCAATTTCGTTATTTTATTGACATATTTCTTGAGAATTTATTTATATGGTTCATGGATCAAGTACATCCATATTGCGATTTTCAAGTGTTTAAATATAAAAGGCAAAGTCACTATGGATATAGAGTGAAATCAAATACATTGTGCGATTTCATTTAATTGGTTTACGTATATGCTATACAAATGAGCCGCATGCGGCTCTTTGAGTGATAAATTAAGGCTCTAATAGTTACTGAAGAATCATTGGTTCTAACTGCATGGGGTTCTATAAACATTTGTTTATTAGATAGCATCATAATATTCACTACATTCACTACGAATGGAAAGAATTTTTCATTATGTAATATACTTTAATTTCTTCACATTATTGACACGAAATGATTTATATGGTTCATGCATCAAGTACATGCGATTTTCAAGTGTTTAAATATAAAAGGCTAGTGAAATCAAATACATTGTTCGATTCTATTTAATTGATTTACGTATTTGAATTACAAACTAGTTGCGTGGATAGTGACTGAAGAATCATTGGTTCTAACTGCGTGCGATTCTATAAACATTTGTTTATTATATAGCATCATAATATCAAAATTCACAACGAATTGAAAGAATTTTTCATTATGTCACGAATTGACTTACATGAATCAAGTACACCTATATTGCGATTTTCAAGTGTTTAAATATAAAGGGTAAAGTCACTATGGATACAGGTAAAATCATATACATTGTTCAATTCCATTTGATTAGTTTAAGTATCTGCAAAACAACCGAGAATTCTCGGGAAATTATAAAAACTGAAGGGTAAAGTATGAAAGAATTTTAACAAATTGTAAATAAGTAAACTAAAATTCCTATAGATACGTTCGAGAAATAATATTTGTACAGTGAAACCTCGCTTACGAGTTTAATCCGTTCCAAAATTTCCAGATTGAACAATCCGGGACTTCTCTTCTCATTGTTATTCGTTATGCGAAACGTCGCTCGTTAAGCCAGGTTCTACTGTATACATATTAAAAAAACAACAAATTTTGTATTGTAATTTCATTTCTAAGTTCACAAAACTATTTTATTTTGACATGTTACGTTCTCGCCTTCTTTAATACATTTAAAGAAAGTTTAATGAATCAAAATGAACACAAAACACAGAAAAATACAATGGATTTAATAAATATTATCATATTGTAATAATTCTGAACGATCGATATTAAAATCATTAATTTGATTTGAAGTGTTTTTTTTTTCCAGTGTTGTAAACAGATTTAATTTTTAATTATTTTTGCAATAAATCATTACTTTATATATTTTTTTTCCTAAAGAAGAGTACTTCTCCCACTGATCTGGGTATCATTAGAGATTTTTTTTTTAATATAAAATACAAGTATTTTATAAAATGTAAATAGATTTTTTGTGCGTCTGCATCCATTTCTCGCTATATTTCATGCAAAGTACGTTCCATTTCCATCGATTTAATCTCACTTTGCTTTAATATTCATCGTATCATTTATCAAACACAATGTACATTCATACATTTTTTTCCACCTACACATTACGATAACCCCACCCTACAGAAGTATATAAAAAAAAAGGAAATCCACCCCGACTTAGTTTTGCACGAAAGCAAGAATTAAATGTATTATATAAAGTAGCAAACTTGAATTTCAGTTGGTGTCATATTTTATTTACCGTAACCGAAATATCCTTTCGCCGAGGCTTTAATTTTACTAAATTAATGATTTTACACTTCGTAGCGTGTACAAGAGACATTAATATAACCATAAAAGGGGTCGACCCGTATCATATCAACGTTTTATACTAAGCAAATCGATCTTGACAACAAAATAGTCTGCGTTTATTTTTTATAACTTTCACATCGAAAAATTACAATTATTATTTCGGAAACAACTACTATTATTCGGAAATAATATATGATTTCACAATGATATAATTACAGCAATTTGTTCAGTTTACGTTAATTAATTTATTGGCTTTTTTAATTTGTCTTCCCGTTAAATTTCGCTTTGTACATTGACAAAGAATCATTACAATCGCCGTCCGTACATTCATAATTGAAGCAAATTACCTGGCTGCACCAGAAGCGCAACAAATATCAATTAATCTATTAAATTTACTGGCCCACAGATATTTTGCAAAATTACAATTGTACAGTGCAGTCCCTAATTGATATTGCAATTTTCTGCTGCAATGATTTTAACACATCACCTATTTACCATATACTACTGCTGTGCATGTTTCACATTTCTACCTATATGTTCGAAACAATTAAATCTAATTTATGGATAGATATTTGTCGAATTTAATTAAAATAATTACTTGTATAATTTATGATAATTTAATATTTAATCCAACTAATTCATATAAAACCTTTTTTTTTTTTAATTTCACAATGTTTTTCTGACTGTTACAATAAATATTATTATTAGTTTATAATTACAATGAAAAATATTATAATTATTAATAATTTGGAAAAAAAAATACAATTTTATTTGTAAACAAATAATAATAAAAAAATATATATAAAAGCAGTAATAAAATATTTATTATTAAATAGTTGCGATATAAAAATGACATTAAGTATTTATTTGAATTGTTTTCAAGAAGTTTTAGACAACTGAATTCAGATTTTATTCCTATTAGTAAACGTACATTTCTACCTATATGTTCGAAATAATTAAATCTAATTTATGGATAGATATTTGTCGAATTTAATTAAAATAATTACTTGTATAATTTATGATAATTTAATATTTAATCTAATTAATCCATATAAAACCATTTTTTTTTAATTTCACAATGTTTTTCTGACTGTTACAATAAATATTATTATTAGTTTATAATTACAATGAAAAATATTATAATTATTAATAATTTGGAAAAAAAAAACAATTTTATTTGTAAACAAATAATAATAAAAAAATATATATTAAAAGCAGTAATAAAATATTTATTATTAAATAGTTGCGATATAAAAATGACATTAAGTATTTATTTGAATTGTTTTCAAGAAGTTTTAGACAACTGAATTCAGATTTTATTCCCATTAGTAAACGTACATTTCTACCTATATGTTCGAAATAATTAAATCTAATTTATGGATAGATATTTGTCGAATTTAATTAAAATAATTACTTGTATAATTTATGATAATTTAATATTTAATCCAACTAATTCATATAAAACCTTTTTTTTTTTTTTTAATTTCACAATGTTTTTCTGACTGTTACAATAAATATTATTATTAGTTTATAATTACAATGAAAAATATTATAATTATTAGTAATTTGGAAAAAAAAATACAATTTTATTTGTAAACAAATAATAATAAAAAAAATATATATTAAAAGCAGTAATAAAATATTTATTATTAAATAGTTGCGATATAAAAATGACATTAAGTATTTATTTGAATTGTTTTCAAGAAGTTTTAGACAACTGAATTCAGATTTTATTCCCATTAGTAAACGTACATTTTTATTATTTACACAACGAATTATGTGTCACGAAGCTTCCATTAGGACTTAAACGCATGCACACGAGTTGAATAACAAAAAAAAATATATATCTGATTAAAATCTCGTTTCCGATTTAGTTTCGAATATGTAATTTGCATTTATTTCTATCGTTAGTCATCGTCCGACAAAATAAATACCGATTGTCACATGCATAATTCAAAGAGTCTAACAAACCTTCAATTACAGAGCATGGATATTCTACGATTCACACAATCATTACATACAGGCTTTGTTTTTATTACTAACGTAAATACAAACAAAACTAATAATTATATTTGAATTTATTTATGATGTATACATTATATACAATTTAATAAACTACTATAAGGTTTTTTTTTACAATTTCATGTGAGTATTAAACAATATAAATATTGTAATTTCTATATTGATTTGTAAAACTTAAGAGGAAATAAATTGATAATTGCAATAGAATTGGTGAAAATCTAAATAGAGAAGCGGTATAATTTATGTATCGTATTCTGCAATTCAATTATATTTGCTAATTGAAAGTCTGCGGACGGAGGGTAACAGGGGGTGGTTGCGGTACAGTTTATAATTGAATTAGGAAATGTGGCGTCTTCCAAATTGCACCCGGCATAATGACCCAATTTGTATGTATCTCGCCTCGAAATAAAACAAAGCAATCTTTCAGAAGATGAAGACCAAAAAAGAAAGAGTGGAGAGACAAAGAGGAGAAAAATGTAAGTAACGAGGAAAGGAGGGAAAAGGCATGGTAATGCAATTAATACGCTTCCCTTTATTTCTTCATCCCCTTTTTTTTTACGATTATTATTATTCGGGACCCGGACGAATCCGGAAAAAAGAAATGGGAGAAATTAATAAGTGAGATTATCGTGGAAAGTTTACAAAAGCGAAATTAAATTTTCGTCTGCAAACGCACATACAAGAATAAATACTCTTTTTTTTTAACCTTAGCTCTCTTCTTCCGCTGTTTGCTTCTCTTTTTTTTCTCATCGTTCTTTGGTCCCTTTGGTGTGTGTGTAAATATATATGTGTGTGTTCTGTTATATAAGTTTCCGCTCTGAGGGGGTGGCAGAAGTACAATAAAACTTTTTTTATTTCGCCGCACGGAAGCTGGCTTGTAAATAAAAGAAATGATTCGTTGCGGACGAAAGAATGAAATGAAATAAAATTCGGATCGGATGGGAAAGGGATCATTTGGTGTAGTATGTGGATGCAAGTTTGTGTATGTATATGGACTGATGTACGTGGGCAGACGCAGCGGAGATACATCAGACTTTCGGCCCGGATCCGAGTTTGCACAATTCCATGCTAATGCACATAATGGGCAATGTAAATAGCGATAAATCGGGGAGTTATGTAACGTACCTGAAATACATGAGGCAGACGACGGAATGCAACAGCATATTCACCAAATGGTATCCCATCGGCTCCAACTGCCACAATAAATAATTCCAGCGAAACGTCAAAACGCACAGCGGCCTGTAAGACTTGTGACTCTGTTCCTGAAACACAAATCAAATGGAAACTAAATTAGACACCAATAAAGCAAATTCATATTAATCAAGATTATTTACAAGACAAGAATAATTTGTGAGAAACATAGATTTATTTTAATTAAATATACGACTTTTTTGATATTTTACAAAACATTGGTGGTTTGCAGAGTAATTTGAATATGTTTGTTGCTACATTTCAATTTCACGTCCAGACTATTCAAAATAATTAATTTCTCTTAACATATTTATCAGATTTTTTTATGAATCTAAGTGTATGATGACTAAACTTTGTTTAAATTCGTTGAACTTTTGTTTTTACGCTACTGTTGCAAAAGTGACAGTCTTACATACTTAATTATTTAACTGCTCTAACATAACTAAAACTTCAAAATGCAAACCGACTGAGGCAAAAGAATATGGAGAATTTTGATAATCGCAAGCAAATTTTGCATCATTTATTGCAAAATATCAAAGACTCAAACGAGATGCGTTAAATACCGCTATTACGTTTTGATGTTCTCGTGGAAATGTCTAAAATTCACAATGTGATGAGTATGGCTGATTGTCGTAAGCCAAAAGACTAAAGCCAACAAATTCAAAACATTTCCACAATTTCCTTCTGCAATTGAAGCACTTTAAGATCATGAATACATGAATCTAGAATTCCCAAAAGTACGTTACACGACAGATAAAAGGAAAAAAATTAGGAGAGTTACAAGTTTTGTAAAACCGATGAGAAGTTAATGTGAAGTTCGACTTTAATAATGTCTATAAAATGTTATGAAAATGCCGTTAAAGCAGTCCGATTTTCTTCAAAATCTATAGTTTTTAAACTGTGTTAAACTTAATTCTTTAATTACTTGTTTCTTACAAAATGTAGCAAGTATTTTCGGAATCCGGAAGTATTTCATTTTTGAAAATTTTCACGTCATAATTTATTTCTTTTCTTTTGCATATTTTAGATTCAGATTCAGTGAGCAAATATTTTACTATAAAAACTGTTAATACTTAAGCTGACCTGAAGTAAGTAGAAAATTAAGTCATTATGTCCTCAATAAAGTACACGTTTATAACAAGATTACAATAGGGTTAGGACTAAATCAGAGAAATCTGAAGAAAATATAACAACAAAAATAAACAGAACTTGATATTGAATTGTATGACAAAAAAACAGTTCTTCTAAAATTGGATGTAAGAAAACTTAAATTAAACCCATGGTTAAACCTGTAAAACTAATTGTTTTGGATATAATTATTTCAATTTTGATGGTATAAATAGTAACATTTGCTGCTTTCACTTCTATTCTTTTAAGATTCGTTTTCTTCGTTTATCCAAAATCGACAACTCACTGTTATATTTGCTGATATATTGCAGCAATAGAGATCCATAAAATCAGAAGAATAATTTTGTTTTTAATGATATAAAATAAGATTGAATTTATATAACTAACAACACTTGTCGTAAAAATAGGTATTTAAGCTTATAAAGATTAATATACGTTCGGGAAGTATCTCAATTTAATTAGGCTTGGGATGAATTGCGTACATTAAGTTCGGTTAATCTGCACGGGATTAATATATACGCTAATGGCAATTACAGTCAGCCATGCATGTTGAATAATGATTAAGAAGATTACGTTGAGACTGTTAAAGATACGGGTATTATCAGATATTTTCAAAAGTGTATATATATACTGTACAAATTACTTTTTAATGCATGCAAATATAGAACAAGAAATATATCATTGCATTAATATGTTCACATATCTTAAATAGAAAATGTACTTAGTACATTATAGCAAATAGTATAATAATATATTAGTTTATACATGTGATTACTATACATATTTTATAGAACGTTACGTGCATTAATATAGTAGATATATAAATATTGATAAATATAAAATAATACTGATTTCTATCATAAAAAAAATGTCATATGTGTACGTACATTTTCATATATTTTATTTATAATTATGTATTCGTTTAGATTAAAAGGTCAACTAAAGCTATAAAATTCGTAAAATTCAATAGGAAATTTCAGCTCTCTATTAATAATAAATAACTCTTTTGAATTTCAGATTATAAAGTAATTCTTGGTAAAAAGTTTAATTACAAATTGATGACACATATAAACTGATGAATAACCTAAATATATATTTGATGTTGACATACGTCACAAAAATGCAATAATATTGATTGAAAATGCGAGCAAAGACCAAAATATTTATTTTTATTATTAAACATTACCAATTTTAATGTCTAAAAAAAATATACTAGAGGCAACATCTCATGTTATTCAATTCCGTTTCTTATTATTTTAGTACTTAATACAATTCTTCATCATCTAATATCTGTTTATATATATATTTTTTGATAATTTCCTTAAAAAAATCTGTTGTGATTAATTGATTATTTCGTGTGTTTTTTTTTCTTTCGCAGCGATTAAAGCACAATGGAAAAAGGGAATATAAAAGATTAATTTCATATTTTTTTTTTGCAAGCGCAGTTTCGCCCTATACTCTCTATCTCCTTCGCTTCCCTTCCTTTCGATATATACAGAGCGTCCAACGTCCATGAAAGAGAGGTCCCATTTTTTTTTTGTAATGGTTCTCTTCCATTGTCAGCACTCGGGGGCACTCTCGTTGTTGTTGTTTTTTTTTATTTATTCTTTCGCTTTCCATTCGACGTCGACCGTAAAAACATTCTTTTCTCGCAGCATAACAAAAAAAAGGAAAATAAATCCGACGATGGAATTATGTATTGCCAAACAATATTATCGGAGAACAGGATTCTCCGATTCAATTTCTGTGTAGATTCTATAGATAAATGCTGGTGGGCAATGCGTCGGACTTATATAATAAAAGAGGTAAGGGCCAAATTAGATCAAGAGCGGAGCTCGCTTCTCTCCTTACATTAAGTGAGTAAATATATGATACGATCGTACAATCTTTTCAAAAATATTACTTCGTTTAATCTATTTAACGTCGATATCGATCAATTTTCTAAAGCACTTATACTTTTATACAGTTTTGAATCGAGTAGATAATTTATATATTGTTTAGTCTATTCACATTTAACCATTTACTGATGAATGGCGGATATATCCGCCAAAGTTTTTATATTTATATTGATGCATAATTATCAAAAATTAAATGATTTCACTACAGCCACCTTTCATTGCGATTCTTGAATTAGCAAAATTTCCATTTAATCATTTTAAAAAGTTATTTTATTAAAGTAATTGGACAGATTTTGACTACACCAACATTCATATCATACGTAATCCATACATGTTATCCGATTTGTTCCATACATATGTCGTGTGCATGTACACCTATTACTTCCATGTATCTGATGTGCATATACCTTCTTTTTTTTCCTCCTCCATTAAGCAAATAGAAAGTGAGGGGTGTTGGGTGGAGCGGAGTGATTTGTGCTGGCAGCATATATTTATTCGGTATGTGGGAATGAATGAATGAATCTGGAAACATGGCCGAAAGCGGGGGTGAACTTTTCATGCCCCACATTTATGGAATGTTCACCAATCAAAACAAATATCTGCGCCCGATGAGAGTTATTTTCACACTGCGTCCAGCATAAATCATCGCAACCGATATGCAAAAAAAAAAGTATACAACAAATAATACACCTATCGCTCGCTTCGCACGGTAGATGGGTCTCGAAAGACCAGTCTATAAATCAAAACAGTGTAAATGGTGAATGCGAATGGAGAAAAAAAGAAACATTATTTTGGGTCAGAATGTCGCTGGTGAATTGTTTGAATTGACTGTATGTGTTCACTAACTGAATTGATATTATAATGATTGTAAAAGGATTACAAAGACAACGTAGACATGTACACAAATTGCTGTAAGCTCAGCGAATTAACATTATGTATAAAATCAAAAATGATTATATTTGCTTCTATATGAACGTACAATATATCATTCAACTCTAAAATTATCATCAATTAATTAGCTAAAGATATGAAACATTTAATATTCCAAGAAACATTGTACGTTAATGTTAATACAAAAAAACAGTTATACACTTGGTTCTCTTTTTATGCGGTAGATACGTTCCACAGGAAAACGCATAAAAATAAATCGCACAAAAAAGGACTAGACACACGTATAAGAATAAAGGATACGTTCAATAATTTTTTAAAACCGCATAAAAGTAAATCAATGAGTTACAATATACCGAAAATCGCATAAAAAATGGTTTATTAAATTTCAGAAAAATAATTAGTCTTACTATATTCTTTCTGAAATGTTTATTCATAATTTTATAAAAAACGTTAACAATCATAGACAAGGTTATTAAATTTCAGAAAAATATAATCTTAACATATTCCTTCTAAATTTATACGGAAAAATTTTACAAAAGAAAATACAGGAAATTTTTATGAAAGTTAATCTTTCTTCACATTTTTTTCTTTAGAATTATCGACGTTATATGAGAGTGTTCGGCATAATTTGCGAACTGGTTCGAAAACACTTTTATCACTAGAAGAGATAGTCAGCATATCAGATCTATGTCCTGAAGATAATAATTCTT